AAAAAAGACAAAAAGAAAAAAAAAAAAAACCCTTTAAGGGAAAGGCCATAACTTTCACCTTTTTTTTTTTTTTTGTTTTTTTTCGTGTCCGGCAACGGATCGTAACCCTCAGTGTCGCGCCCGTACCAGACCGTGACCGGCAACGGGATTGCAACCCTCGGTGTTGCACCCGCACCACGCTCAGCCAGTGAGCGGGAACCGGTCTCCACATGGGATCCGAACCCTCAGCGGGAGCGCCGCCACACTCCCAAGCGGCGCACTCTCCAGTGCGCCACCGGGCCGGCCCAAGGGGTTTTTATTTTACTTGAGAAGACATGATACAGACCTAAAAAATGTATATATATTGGGATATAAGGTCATGCTAAATTTCACATCACTGGTACAGGCACAGATAGTGAAGATTTCAGAGCAGAGAGCAGGTGTATTACTGTCAAATGGATTTGGATCATACTTTTCAGAGATTAACTATTTTGCTTTTCTTTTTTCATCTATTTTCCCTGGTCACAAATCACTGGAATGGATTGTGATTGAAAACAAAACAAAGGAAGAGATTGATGGTTCTCTAGTCATAGATAAATAGGAAACTGTGAGATCACTAATTCATTTGGAAAATAATCAAACAAATGATTTAGTCAGCAAGTATTTATTGATGGCCTGTCCATCATTGTGACATGGGATCTAGTTGCATCTAATATGCTATATAGAAAGGTCAGTGAAGCAAGTCCTTGAGTCTGAAGAAAAGCAGAAAACACGTTTTAGTAGATAGAACACAGGTTCCAACACGGTCTAGTTTGTACCTTTTGGGACATTTCTGAAATTCTGTGGTTTGTAGTTTCCTAATATGCAAAATAAGATATTTTTGGTGAGGGTTAAGTGCTAATGTGTGTAAATTGCCTGACAAAGCCTAGCCCAGTAACTGTTAGCTCCTTTCCCTTCTAGTCTGGTATCTTTTTTACAGCCGTTAAAAACTGTCTTTCTAAAAATGGTCTTTTGCAGCTACTTTCCTGTTTTATTCCTACTGTTCCCCAATTAGTTCAGTCCCTGTCTACCTTTTGGCTAAACCTTTGCTTTGCAGGTATTGCCTTACACTTTTCCAAGCCTCTGATCTCTGTGTCTCTCACTTCATCGTCACATTGCTGCCAAAGTACACATCTGATTGTCATGCCTTTGCATGACAAAACTTTTACAGTTCCTTATTACCTCCAAAATAATGTATACTCTCTTTAGTATGGAATTTGAGTTTGCTCATTAGTATTGCAAATGCAAGGATATCTGGAAAATTGAGCATGAGGAACACATCAAGGTTTGTGAGTTGTGTTTTGTTTTCACTATTTTGTTGGCACTTTTGCTCATGTATAATATACCACCCTGGCTGAATTTGAAGATACCTGGGTCATTGTTAGGTAAAACAAATGTGGGTTGTACCTCTCCTTCAGTGTTTGATATCGTGCGGAACTACACTGCAGATTATGACAAGACTTTAATCTTCAACAAAATCCACCATGAGCTGAACCAGTTTTGCAGTGCCCATACACTTCAAGAAGTTTACATTGAATTGTTTGGTAAGTGTCTTATTTGTTTTAAGTATGTAAATAGCCAGCTGGGAATCTTTTTCAACTCATTTATTGATGCTATAATGTTAGTAAATCTTATGCTGTTTGAGCATTTCTTCTGAGCAATTGTCTTTAAAATATTTATTCTTTAACTTAAGTTTAAAATTTCTTATATAGGGCCGGCCCTGTGGCGCACTCGGGAGAGTGCAGCGCTGGGAGCACAGTGACGCTCCCACCACGGGTTCGGATCCTGTATAGGACTGGCCGGTGCGCTCACTGGCTGAGCGCGGTGCGGAGGACACCAAGCCAAGGGTTGCGATCCCCTTACCGGTCACGAAAAAAAAAAAGTAAAATTTCTTATATAGCTTGGTAGAGATTGGAAAGATTTCATTTGTTTACAAACTATATTCTGTTTTTATTGTGATAACTTATGAAAAATAAGTTTTGTTGCTATCTTAATAGATAATTGAGGAAATTTAGAAGTCTGTATTATAGGTCTTCCAAGACCCACTCCCATGTTTGATGATTTGGTAGGAGGACTTAGCATATAGTTGTATTCACAGCTAAAATTTATTATAGCCAAAGGATACAAAGCAAAATCAGCAAAAGGAAAAGCACATGGGTAAAGTTTGGAGGCAATCGGGTGTAGGTTTCCAAGAGTTTTCTCACAGTGGAATCAAACAGGATGTGCTTAATTCTTCCAATAACAAGTTGTGACAACATATGAAATGTTGTCTACCGGGAACCTCATTAGAAACTCAGTGCCCACGGGCTGAGCCCGTGGCGCGCTCGGGAGAGTGCGGCGAGTGCAGCGGGGGGAGCGCAGCAGCGCTCCCGCCTTGGGTTCGGATCCTATATAGGGATGACCGGTGCGCTCACTGACTGAGCGCGGTGCGGCTGGTCTCACAAAAAGACAAAAAAAAAAAAGAAACTCAGTGCCCAGGGTTGTTACTGGGGACTGGTCATGTAGGCACCCTCTGCCTAGCACATTCCAGACTCCCAGAAGAAAAGCAGGTGTTCAGCATAAACAAAGTTGTTTGTATAAACAGTTTAGGCACAGCGAGCACTCCTATCAGTTCTTGAGATGGCGGCAACCCTCCCCCAATCCAAGTTCCCAGGTGCCAGCCAAGGGCCACTTTGCAAACAGGCCTTTCTAAGGATCACAGTCTCAGGGCTACGATGTTAACTTTCTTTGGCATGGTGACTTCATTTGTGAAACTGAAAGTTCTGACCAGGAAACAAGTTGTTGCTGTTTGTTGCTCACTTTTCCTAACTGGAATTATTAGTGAATTTATTAGAGGGAGGCATAGGGATGGTTAATCAATTTAAAATCTACAATCGATTTCTCTTTGATAATTGACAACTAGTGTGATGACATATAAGGAAACTGATCAGTCCTGATTTGTCACTTAACAAATCATTTTAATAATGGTGAAAGTACCATTGAAGTGGATAGAAAATTGATGTTACAAGTCCAAGTGAAATGACATCTTTATTGTTCATTTGTGTGTGCTTCAAAGACTTTCCTATGAGCTTTTATTCTTTCTCTGTTTTTGAATCCAAGATAATAGTAAAGCTGAGATCTTGGGAAATTAAATTCAGTTATTTGGGAATTTGAATAAATATTGAGTGAAGATAGGAATTTGCTTTTTTGTGAGAATCAGGACACATATTAAGAGCCCTGAATTAACATACATACTAGAGATCCAGATTCTCCTTATTTTATCCTTTAATTAAATTTATCCAATAAGTAATTCTTATAAGTTATCCAATAAGTACATTTATCTAAAATAAGTTAAATAATAAGTTTATTGGATAAACTTATTTTATTTGATAAACTTAGATTAGATGCTTGTCATCTTGCTTCCTTGATTTCTTTATTAGACAATTCCTTATACTTTTCTGCCACACAAAAGGAAAACTGTTTCAAATATATATTTTCATATAAATATAAGCAGTTTTAAATTCTATAAAAGAATGATACTGTGGAAACTTTAGGTCTAGTTTCAATATTAATACAGTGTAAAAAAAATATATTGAGTATGTTTTTTTTGGCTTCAAAAACAGATCAAATAGATGAAAACCTGAAGCAAGCTTTGCAGAAAGATTTAAACATCATGGCCCCAGGTCTCACTATACAGGTAAGCTCTTTTCCTAGGGAGGTACTCTGGGAATTTTGGGAATTTTGAATTTAATCCTCCTCTCATTGGATTGCTTACTCAGCAGTTATTTAATCTAAGTATTATGGTGATTTATAGAATACCTTTCTCAATTTGACTTTAAGACTCTGCCAAATAAAATATTCTTATAGCTTACTGTGGGTGGCATTTTCTTGTGAACTCTTAAACAGAACTGATAAGCTAAGGCTCTTACAAGGAAATAAAATTAAGATTTCTGACATGCGTGAAGCATTATTTAGATACAGTAATAAATCAGTCTAAGAGTAATCCTTGCCCTCAGTAAGATTACGAAAAAGGAGTTTGACTGTAAGATTTAAACACTAATTCTAGATGAAATAGGTGTCACAAAGAATAAGTTGACAGATTAATTCATTGTATGGTTATTGCTGTAAGAGTAAGAGAACATTTCAAGAGAGTGTGCCTAGGAAGACTGTGACTGAGTTGAGATTTTAGGTAGGTCTAGAAAAATTCATTGGACTTATATGGGGGAAAGGAGAGTGTATTAGTCCATTTTTGTGCTGCTATAACAGAATACCTGAGACTGGGTAATTTCTAAAGAAAAGAGGTTTATGTAGCTCATGATTCCAGAGAAGCTGTGTCTTGCACAGGTCTCAGGCTGCTTCCACTCATGGCAGAAAGTGGCAGGCAGCTGGCAGGCACAAGACCACATAGCTAAGAGGAAGCAAGAAAGACAGGGGGGAGGTACCAGGCTCCTTTTAACAACCAGCTCTGAGGGAACTAATCCATTCCTAGGAGAGGTCACTAATGGGGGTTGGAGGAAGTGGAATGGCCGGGCATTCATCTGTTTATGAGGGATCTGTCCCCATGACCCGGACACCTTCTAGCACTACCACATTGGGGAATCAGATTTCATCGTGAGCTTTGGGGGGACAAGCATATCCAAACTATATCAGAGTGAAAAAGGTACTTAAAGTGGGCGGGGTGGCCTGAATAAAAAGCAAGGTAGTAGGTGAATTTGGTGTGGTGGTGGCAGTGGCATTGGGAGATCGAATGGTGAGAGGTTATATCCTTGCTTTTCTGGGTCACTGTGTTTTCAGATTGTGGGTTGAAATCCATTAGTGGGTTGTAAAGTCAATTTCAGTTGGTCATGACCAGCTTTTTATTTATTTATTTTACCCTTTTTTTTTTGAAACATATTTGATTATGTTTCACATTCGTGGTATACAGAGTTGAATGTCAGTATCTGTGTACAATACGTGATGGTCATATCAGTATAATTAGTATATTCCTCATTACAAAACATAATCATTCTTTGTGACCCTTTACCAATTTCTTGCTGACACCCCTTCCCTCCCCTTCCTCCTCCTCTAGTACCCCCAGTTCTTTTCTTTCCTTTCGAAAGTTCAGTGAGTTATTGTGAATGTTGTTTCCTTCTTTCTTTTTTTTCTTTCATTCTTTTTCTTTTCTTACCTTCCTTCCCCTTCCTTCCTTCCCCTTCCTTCCTTCCCTTTCCTTCCTTCCTTCCTTCCTTCCTTCCTTCCTTCCTTCCTTCCTTCCTTCCTTCCTTCCTTCCTTCCTTCCTTCCTTCCT